TACGTACACTCAACCTCACGCCCAACTCCCCACCCACCCATCATCTCATGGGTCCCTCGTCTCCCTCTCACACACACTCACACACACACACACACACATACACACACACACCACACACACGCACACACCGCCCTCTCCCTGTCTCAGACGAGGCCTCGGAGTTGGACCGCCTGGCGGCCGTGACTGAGCAGCTGGCGGACGCGGCCGGCGTCGAGGCCGCCAACGGCGCGCGCCAAGCAGCGGAGGCCCGCCTGAGGGCTCTCGACGCTCAGGTGCGCGGCCCGGGCTGCGGCCGTGGGGGCGAGGTCCGCGGCTCTGTGCTTCCGCGCCAATGCGGCTGGCTGAATGCCAGGGGCTCGGTGAACCCGCGTGCGGTCAGCCCTTGCGCGTGAATGGCGAGAGGGGACGCCGCACTCTCCACAGACTGGCACCATGGCAATGGCAAACCCGGACTAATGCCACCCGGCCAACGGTGAGCACAGCGTGACCATTCGTCTGACACGACCATTTGCCTGACACGACTGCAAACCCCTGATTGCTCCCCGGCCGGCTGCCCCAGGCCCGGCCGCTGCTTGAGGAGCTGGAGGGTCAGTCCCCCAAGGCGGCCGCGGCGGCGCGGGACCTGGGGGAGAGGGGCCGGGCGCTGCAGCTGCGGGCGGCGAAGCTGGTGGGAAGCTGGGGCGCCGCCTGGGGGCAGGGGGTCGGGGAACGGGCCGCTGCTGCTGGGTGGAGCTGCTTGGAGTACGAAGGGGGCACGAGCCAGCAGCCGCGGCTCGCCTCGCTTTGTGCTGCCTTGTGTGGGCCCCCGCGGGCCTTCAACGGACCAACACCCGTGGCCTTGAGGCCTCATGCCTCAAACACACACCCTCGCTCATGAAAGACTGCAACTGAAGATGCCCACGTCCTGACTCCCCGTCAACCGACCCCGCATCCCGCGCCGTGACCAGGTGTCTGAGAAGTGTGACCACCTGCGCAGGGGCGCCAGCGCCCTGGAGGCGGCGAAGAGGGTCCGCCCTGCAGCGCAGGCCTTGGCGGACGCGCGCGCTGACTGGGCGGGCGCCGTGTTTGCGCTCTGCGACTGACGGGGCCAGGCTGGTTCATTTCAGCACTATTCCCCCTGTCTGTGACCCTGCCTGTCCCTGGGAATGTTGACGGCTGGCAGTGCTGCCCCCACCTTGCATCGTGGCTGCCGCGGTTGGGCGCCCCTGCACCCGGCCTGACCGAAACTCGCCGCACTGCCACCTGTATGTGTGATCCCTGTGGCATGTCCTGACGCGCACGGAGTGAATATATGTGATTCATGTTCCCATGGCGGCCTGGCGGCCGCCCACTGCTTCATTGGCTGGCGCTGACCGGGGGGCCTGCAGCGTGCCGCGCGGCGCGAGCTGTGCACTGCTGTCAAATGCTTGGGCCCTTGGCCAAATCGCCTCGCATCCTTCTTTTGCAGGCCTCTGCCAGCCTCACTGACATTGTAATGTCCGATGATGACACTCGCAACCCCCAAGCCACCCCTCTCCTCTTGAGATTGTTTGAGAGGTCACCCGTTACAATGCATGCATGCAAAACCAAATTTCAGTGTGATATTGCAAAGGAACCAGGGCGGAGAACGGCGGCTCAAAGACATGAAGGCATGGACGCAACAGTGGTTTGCATAACGCACAGGTCAAAGCAAACTGAGGGGGAGGATCGACCCTGACCCCAAGCCAGATCTGGGCCACCCCTCGATGGTGCCGGCATCTCGCACTTGTGACCAGGGACCACAAAAACCTGCCCAACCCCGGCAGCCCGCAGATCCCCGCCCGCCCCGCGACCGCCCCGCGGTCACGGGCCCCGCGCCCGCACGAGCACGACGGCGGCCAGCGGCGGCATCCTCAGCCGCACGATCATGTCTGTCTCGCTCAACCCATCCAGGCCCTCGGGCAGACCCACACCCTGCATAAACAGCAGGGCCGCCACCAGCGGCGCAAACGGCACCCCCGCCGGCACCGGCACGCGCGCGTGCGCCAGCGCGGCGTCGATGCGCACCACCATCCTAGCGCCGGCGATGCGCGCCATGTACAAGGCGAGGTCCGACCAGGCGGGCATCTCGCTCACGAGCGCGGCCGCCGACAGCGCCTCCCCGCACGCCGCCTTGAGCACCGCCAGCTCAGCGATGCTCGCCAGCGCTGCAAGCCCCCACACGCCGCCGGCGTGGTCCGCCCAGTCGCACACAGAGGCCGCATATGAACGCGCCGCCTGCACCGCGGTGGGGCCGTCGGGAGAACCCAGGAGCTCGGGCGGCTGCGGCGGCGCCGGTGGGAGCTGCCTTCGCGCGTGGGCGGTGGCAGCCGCCGCGGGGGCCACCGCCAGCTGCTGCGCCGCCGCCGCTGAGGCGGCCCTCGCCGCGTCAATTGCTGCAGAAAACACCTCCAAAAACGCGGCCGGCTCGTCGGGCGCCTGCGCCGCCGCGGCGGGGCCGCCCGCCGCCAGCTGCTCAGGGGCGGCTGGCGCGCCGCCTCGCACAGC